GGGGGGGGGGGATGTTTGGGTTGCTCTGTCCTTAAAATAGATTTGCTGTGCTGGGATTTAGCAATATCATCAGAGCCCGATATGGCTTAGACTACCTTTCACTGGTTGATGAATCACAACTCTTATCTGAAGAGAGATCGCTTAGCCTCTTATCCATGATCCATATCCTTCAGACTACTGCAATACATGTAACATGGAGCTGCCTTAGAAAAATCTCAGAATATTCCTGAGTTGCTTTTAATGTTGCAATGATACTGTTGAATATGCTCACATCTCACCATTATTTAAATAACTACATTAGCTCTGGGTCCATCTCTGGACTAAAAGTTCTGATTGCTGATGTTTTCCTTTAAAGGCTTGAATGACTTAAGACCTGGGTGTCTGAAACACTATGGGGGGTTGCAGACTGCCAGAAATAGTGCAAATTGAGTCTACTTTTAGGGTTAGGGTTAGTGCTAGGGAATCATGGGAATTGTTTTTTTCTCCTGAGACATTGAGCCTTCTCTGTCAGAGAGCTCTGGTGCCACAATAAAATACAGTTCCTATGATTCCCTAACCCTAACCCTAAAAGTGGACTCAATTTGCACTATTTCTGGCAGTCTACAACCCTCCTATGTTTCCACATAAGCCTGAATCTTCTTTTTGTACAAATCTTTTGAGGTGCAACAGATTGCAATGAGAGGGTCTGCCCTGGTTACAGAATGCTCTCCTCAGGATGATCCAGTGTCCTCCAAAGAGTAATTAAGCAAGCATCTTTCTGTTTTCTTTGACCTTTTAAAGCCTCAAAGAAATGAGAACTTTCTGCATCAATAAATGGCTTCCCTTAAGAACTACTAACTTTTAAGCAGTTTTGCCTCTCCTGTTCTACTGAAGTATAACTGGGGCTATGCATCATAGCTATGATTTATTAGTGAACCTGGAATAAAGCTGAATGAGGAGAGGAAAGTAGATATTCTCTTGGCCAACTCTGGCTGACGGGAGAAATCTTACTTTCTCTCCTTTGATCAGGGATTTGGCAACTCTATATTAGAGACAAGAACTTTTCATATCCAAAGTGTGATACCAAATGAGTATTACAGCAAATTAATTGTAGGAGTCAGAGAGATGCAATGATACAGGTGGGTGGCAGTAAATGTGTTTGAGTTAATAAGACTTTATTCACAATTAGAATCAATCTATCTGATAGACACACAAACACATACACATGGAGATACCTAAAGGGGCTTGAACAAAGAATAATACTATAATGACATATTTTCCATTCAAGTTGCCCAGGAAGTCAAGTAAAAGATTGGAAACTAAACACTAGCTACCATTTTACTCTTTAAAAAGACTTTATCTTATCTTGCACATTCTGCGTGTGGTATAGAAGAATAACTAAAATGAACAAAAAAACATGACACAAGGTTACAGAATAGAAATGAACAGAAATAGATTTTTTTAACTGAAAAAGGAAGGATAGATCAATAGGAACCCTAGTCAAACCAATTTAACAGAACGTGAAATAGATGGGTATGATCTCCCTCTTTTAAGGGCAGCTTACAGATCTGGTTTTTCCCAACCCCAGCAATAATAGTCTAGCACGCATTCTGAAAACACATATAAAAATTTGCTCACTTGTTAAAAGGAAAAATGCAAGGATGTCTGCATTTTCTATAGTGGAACCTAAGTCTTTTGGGACAAATTCCAACCTATAACCCCACCTAGTATACCCCATGTATCAATGAGAACTTGGTAATTTCCACAGATTCAATAGGACTACTCTAGCCAAACAATGCATTTAGCCTTTCAGCACCGTCCTTACTGTGAAATACTTATTTTGCTGAAATATATTGACAGGCAGAGAAGTTAATGTAACATTTGTTAAGTTTAATGATGTTTTCAATTATATAATAGCTAGTGAACAATACACCAATAAGTCCGGACATGTTGTTCAAACTGTTTGTAAATTAAAATGGTTAGTTTTATTTTACATGCTTACTGAAGTAGCATTTTAGTGCAATATGTTATCCCAAGGAGTACCACTCTAGATAAGGGGGAAACAGACAAAAGAAAAGTGTTAAGCCCATCTCTTCCCCTCTTGTTAATAAATTAAAATCTGTACAGAGTAATGTTTAATTTCAACTGAAATAAGCCGTTCAAAATGCTGTTTTTGATACCCCTGGTTTTCTGTCTGCTGCTACATTTTCTTTGAAATTACTTTTGACAGGCCTTCTTAGTGCATTGTGTTGCTTCCAGCTTCTTGTTCTAATTCCTGTGAAACAACAAATAGACTATGTTATAAAAAGAAAAGACAGAAACAGAGAGACACCACCATACTGAATCTCATTTTGGGAGAAAGGTGGGATATAAATTCAGTGAATGAATGAATAAATACTGATAGAAAATGGAAACTCTTTTATTAATTTTTTCAGTGTTACCATTAAGCTGAAATTGCTGAACAGGACGGAAGTGATTTTATTCTCTTTCTTACAGTAGTATCTAGGTATTGTGCTTGTAAAATCTTAGATTACCGTATATACTCAACTACAAGTCAACCTCATGTATAAATTGAAGACAGGTTTTGGAGCCAAAACTATGGATTTTGATATGACCCATGGATAGGTCAAGGGTGAAACTTAGGGTCATGTAATAAAGGATCTAAAGGATGAAACAAAGAAAAACAATGCCAAAGAACTTCTAAAATTCCAGCAGACATAACTATTTTCACTTATACTAAAGGGAGGATGGATATGAGAATATATCGGGATCACTGGTTCCAGGATTACACACTAGATTATACACTAGACAGATTACCAGTCTATTTCCAAACATCATTCCATGGATTGGTTTTTGGGGTAAAACCCTATATACAGTTACCTCGCAATAAATCCCACTGAACACTATTGTACCAGTTCTTGAGTGGATATGAACTGGATTGTGGTGCTAGCATAAACAACTCTGGATGACTTCTGGGCAGAGTACATGAAAAGAATGTCTTTTTCTACCAGAACCTGGTCTGAATGGTTGTCACTGACGCTTTCCCTCCATTTAAAATATGGTGGATGGTGACTGGAGAAGCCTGACAAAATAAATATTTATTAGATTCTTAAATCTGTTACTTTGTATGCTATGCAGAAAGCTATGCATGACTAATAAGTATCTAAATAAATAAATAATCTCAGAAAATGGCTATTTGTTGAAAATGTACTTACTTGTAAAAATCTTCTGTAATACATGAAATCTTTCATCCTGGTTTATACAGAAACACATGCTCCACTGTCACTAATACTTATTATGTTAATTCAGTTTCTAGCATAAAGAGATTTCACAACTGAATAGGTCATGGCTCAGTGGCACAGCACATGTTTTGTATGCAGAAGGTTCTAGGTTCAATTCCCAGCAACCCCAAATAGGGCTTGGCTAGGGAAGAATCCTGCCTGAAATCCTGGAAAGCTGCTGCCATTCAGTATTGACCATTCTAGGTTATGTTGGCTCAGTCACCTGATTTGGTGGAATACAACTTCCTGTGTTCCTTCCTATGTCTTGACAGATTAGAGTTTCCTGTCTTCCTCCCTATGAACATGCAGAATTTCTCATATGAGTCTTGGCTCTGTTGACATTCATTTTATGACTCATGCCATGAATTGTCAACCATACTGTATTCTTCTGTCACCATACTACAAAGATTATACCAAAATGTTTTAGGTTCTTGGACCACATACAAAGCAAATGACCCTGGGAAGACTCTGCTAATAAATTTCCTTGTCTTCAAAGGCCCACCCTTCAATCAGATAGGATACAAATAAATTATTTGCTAAAGAAGTTACAACTAGGAAGCTGGGATCAGCTTCCTGGGGAGGTTAGACTTTGGAAACCTGTTACAGGCTGAGTATCTCCTATCCAGAATTCAGAAATCTGAGATACTCAGAAATTCAAAATTGTCTACATGGGTGGCTGAGGTAGTGGCACCTTTGTTTTCTGATAGGTCATTTTACACAAACTATTTCATGCACAAATTTATATCCGACCTTCTCCCAGAATTGGGACTCAAAGCATCTTACCGTTTAAAAGAGAAATAGAGTTATATATATACAAAAAGTGAATAATAAAATAGGATTAAACTAGTTACATTGGTAAAACACTTCAAATCTCTACTTTAAAACATTAGAAAGCTATTAAAAACAGTACAGTTTTTTTTTTAAAAAAATATCAATCCGTAACCCACTCTTTAAAATCTTTCTGTATTAAAAGCTTGTCAGAATAAAAAGCAGTTTTGCCTGGCAACAGGACAGCAGGGAGGGATCTATTCTGGCCTCCTTGGTGAGTTTCAAAGTATAGGGGCAACCACTGAGAAGGCCCTCTCTTGTGCTTGTGAAGGTGGTAGAATTGCGAAAAGGGCCTATCCTGATGATCTTAGAGCTCAAGCAAGTACAGTTACCCCTCCGTTCTTGCGAACTTCATGCCTGGGCCTGGGCCATGTAGGGCTTTATTGATCATAACCAGCACTTTGAATTGTGTTTAGAAACAAACTGGACGCTAGTGGAGCTGATTTCACAGGGAAGTAGCAGACTCCCATGCTACCTCATGGGTCACAAACTCCATATGTGAAAGGATAAGCAGCTGGTGTACAGACCTATCAAATTTGCTTTTGTACAGAGCCATGTATTTAAGGTCATGCATGGGAAATACTTACAATGTCATCTAGTGTAAACGAGATCATATTTTCAAGGTTTCTGTTGAAATGTACTGTAGTTGTTTACAATGCATCTTTATAGCCCCTATGCCAGGGGCCGGCAACCTTTGTTGCCGGGGGGCTGGGGGAAAATGGCGTCCCACCCCACGCAACGACAATGGCGTCGTTGTACACATGCATGCGCTACACAGATGCCATTTTGGAAGGCCCCCCCCCGTGCCCATGGCGGGCGAATTCGCCCGGCACAGCCGTGGGGGATGGCTTCCCTGGGCCTTGGAAAGCCCCCCTCGTGCCTGTGGCAGGCGAATTTACTCGGCGCAGCCGCCATGCGCCCTTTCAAAATAGCGCCTGCCGCCGTGCACATGCGTGCGTGAGTGCCTTTTTAGAAGCCAAAATGGCAGCCGTGCTCACGCGTGGGGCAGCACTGCGGCAGCAGGAATGGCCACGGGCTGGTCCCAAGGCCTCTGCAGGCTGCACCCGGCCTGCAGGTTGCTGACCCCTGTCCTATGCAGTACATCCTGTTTGGATTATTGTTAATGTGCTCTTTGTGGATCTGCTTTTGAAAAGTGCTCAGAACCTTCAGTTGTGCCAAAGAGCTTTAGCCAGACTATTAACTGCAGCTGGCTACAGGAAGCATACAACTCTTTTGATGTAACAGCTCCTCTGGTTGTCAGTCTGCCCCTGAGCACAATTCAAACTCTAGGTTATATCCATAGGTCTAAACTACCTTTAGGGCCATATTTCCCTATAGGACCTTGCCTGTATGCTAATCTTTTTGAGTGAGGCCCTTGTCATGAAATTTGACCAACTTCACAAGCACATCTGGTGAGAACACAGGGGAGGGTCATCTTAGTGGTTCCTCCTAGGCACTGGAACTCCCTTCCTAAGGAAGCTAGGATAGCTCTCTACATGCTGTCATTTCATTGACAAGTGAAAACTATTCTGTCCTGAGAATTTAATTTTAATAGGCTTTTATTTTACTTATTTTGGGGATGCAAAGGTGGGATATGAATATAAATACAAATATAAATAGTCACCCCCCTGTTTTCATGGGGGAATCCATTCTGAACTCCCCTCCCTGCGAAAACGGAAACTTGCATATATTCAAGCCCCATTGACTTGAATAGCTGCATGCACCATTTTTGCCAATCAGTCTTGGCCCTCCATGAATAATTGAGATTATGGACTTCAAGTCCACAAAAATGGAGGGGTGACTGTGTAATAATAAAAGTGATGGGCCTAAGCATGTGTCTTAGAATATTTTAAACTTTTTGAGATTCTAGGCATATCTAGTGTGCTGCAGCTTCTACATTAGGCATTCAACTGCATGATTCTTTAACAATACAATTACAGTAATTGATGCTGGTATCCTTTATTACCCAACATTTAGTACAAATAATTAACATCTGTGTAGCGTACTGATAAAACAGTTCAAGAATAAAAATTACGTGCAACATACCAGATGAACAATGTAAGGAGAACATTAATTTTGCTGGGAGGAAGGCAGTTAAAGGAACCAAGTCTTTACTGCTATCACCATGCAAGTTTCAAAACTATAAGGGGTTAGGTAAGCTAAGAAAGGACCTGTTTATGAGGATCTCATAGCTCTGATGTATGGAAGAATATGCAAGAAGAGCATAAATTAGACCAAAGGCCTGTTTAGTCTAGCATCCTTCCCCTTTCTCAGAACTATTTTATTCTTTTTGACAACAACCATAACTGTACATAATGTTCCAAGAATGTAAAAGGGCATTATGAGTATGATAGTGGTAGTTTTATTCCTGACCCCCTTTCCTAATTATCCTTAACATGGAACCTGCTTCTGAGCTCACTGACTTCTTCTCTTTCTGCTATGTGAATTGGTTCTTGTAGGTCAAGCAGCACCACCCTGCATTCTCAGGCATCTGCTAAAATCTGTGTTGGGATACATCAACAACACTTTGCCAAAATCTTTTGGTCTTATTTGGCAATCTGTTACCTGAATCTGCATCAGAACAGCCAGGGGATTCTATGAAGGCACTGTCATTAGTTTTATAAAATGCTGCACGATGAGCTGAGATTTCCATTGGACCTAAGACCCCATTTATGCTAACAAACATATGCTTCTTTTTGACTTAGTAGTTCCTTCTATTTTTCTGATATTAAGCAACAGAACTAAGGTGTTATCAAGAAGTAATGTATTCATTTTCCTTATTAGATGACTATAATATATCAGTCAAATTGATTGTGTGAATTAACATAGCAAAAGACTATAGAGACCAACAAACTGAAAAGGTCAGCCTGCATGTAATCTGGGACCTTTTGATGTAGCCATCTCTTGCTTAAATTTGGAAATAGTTACTAAAAATGGTTGATTGGACAATTACCTGTGCCTCTAGGTACTCTTACAGGTTTGTTACTTAACATGACATCTTGTCTAATACGTTTTGCAGCTGTAGGATCTTGGTGGTGTTTTAATTCAGTGCTTGATGAGGAACTGAGAAAAGATGAAGCAAAATTGACAGTGTTAAATCACAAGGTTTCATCTTAATTCTCATAACACAATGTTAATGTTTGTTCAAAGTAAGTTTAGCGCTAAATGAACAATCAGGAACAAAATACAGTAAGGTTTGGACTTATAAGTTCCCCTTCCCCTTCTATTCTGCTGGGATGGTGTTTGGAGGGGTTTGCTTGAACATTCACTGGCTTGTGGTTTGCCATGTTGTCTAGACCAACAATCTGTTAAATCCTAAAAATTTACTACAGTTTCAAAAAACAAGACTCAAACTATGGTTTCTGAATCTGGCCTATTTAATTCAACCATAATTGATGTAAATCACAATTCTGGGTTCAGACAACATGATAAAGTGCAATTAAGCAAAAGCAGAAACAGAAGGGGAGTAAAGTATGACCTCTGCATCTGTGGGACTGGTACCAATGGTTTCACTCAACCACGACCCATGGCTTCTGCTGCCAGCCAGTCTTTCCCTGTCTTTTCCTTGTGTAAGGTAGTGAGGGAGCAAGTGAAATGCCACCACACAGCTTCTCCCTTCCCCATGCACACCTCTCTCCATCCTTGCCTATCATGGGCTGCCCCATTACCACCCCCTCCCTGTTTTGTGCAGCAGTTTTTGCCTCAGCCACACTTGGCTCGCTACCACCTCTGGTTTGTGCTTTTCAACTGAGGAAAGTGACAGACACTCCTTCCTCTGCCAGGAGAAGTACAGGGCCCCCAGCTGCACAAAACCAGGCAGCTCTCTTGGTGGTGGACACCAAAGAAGGAAGGCCAGCTGGCTGCTGAATTGCTGCTGCCAAGGTGACCAGATGCAAAGAGAGCAGTGGCTGAATGGCTGGCTGAGTAGCCTTCCTTTCCTCCCTCGCAGTGGGGCTTGGCTAGTTCCCTATGCATCCCTCTCCATGTTCACTAGTTGAAGGAGAAGGAGGATGTGGGAGAAGCCAGCTGGCCAGCAACATCCACCCCAGACATACCTGGCTCATCTCTTTCTCTTCTTGTTCATGCTTTTTGGACAAGAAAGGCCACGGAGGGGGGGATGTGCCTCTCCTGGTGGCAGGTGCCACTCTCTCTCAAAGTGTCCCCCAAAAAGACTTCTTTCCTTTTGTCCTTGCATGTGAGGGTGCAGTACCTGCCACCAAGAGAGGCACTGGTTTTGCGCAGTCAGGCCCCCTGTACCTGTCTCAGCTGAGAAGCATGAACCAGAGAAAGCAGTGGCCAGAT